TTTCAGCGTTCCAGACTTTATACACTCATCTCCCTGTCCAGAGAATGAGTTATCCTGGGGTAAAGCCTGGAATTCTTGGAGCACTTCTGGATTTCAGAATCAATCACTGTGATTAGGGGGAATGTAATGTATATATACTCCATCACTACCAGTGGGAAGGAATTAAATTCCTCAAGAAGCACCTATGTCATAAATGGAAACAAGAAACTAGTCAGAAGGGGAAATGGTGAATAAATGCTGATTAGGCAACTAAATAACATTGCTGCACTTGGATTTTAAAGAAATAAGGAGCCATAGACTTATGGAGAACATAGGGTAGTATTCCAAACAGAAGTGGCAGTCAGCAACTTAGGTTGGATCATGAAGATTATCTTAACTAGCATGGAAGGAAATAGTGAGATACTGACGAATTGCATGAAAAAAGTCTTGAGATATTCTTGCAGGCTAGCTTAAGGATGTTAATTTTAGAAGCTATATCATGGGATGGTTATGTTGGTATATAAATTGCCGCAGCTGAAGCTGACGATTCTCTGTCTCCAACCATCCTCTATGGATATGGCAGCCAGCTAAAGTGCAGTTCCAAACATACAAGTACCACAAAACTTTTAGTTATGTCTGTCCCTCTTACCATGAAACAGGAACATCAATAAAGCAGTATATGTTTCTCTGGAATTATTGTATTAGACAAGAAAAAGCTTTTTTATTTTTAATGTGTGTGTGTGTGTGTGTGTGTGTGTGTGTGTGTGTGTAAAGTGGGTTTTATGTATCATTTAATAAGCAGTGTGGTGAACCAGAGGGAGGACTGAAGAGTTGGGTGGGCTTGATATGAGGAGAAGACAGCAGTTTGATATGCAGTGACATCTAAGGTTTAATATCAACAATTAGTTTTGACAAATTTTGAATCACTGGTGATTTTACAGCTGCCCATGTGCTTTATTAGTTAAAGAATATTTAGCTCCAATTTCAGGGATCATTTTCAGTTTTGGTAATTATAATCTTTCTGTGATTTGATTTTGATCATTTGTCCATGTTACAGAAAAACGGATAAAATATTGTATGTAATTATGGTAAAATTACTTTTAAGTAATTTAATCACAATCAAAAATTAAAATGTATTCTCAAATAGGAAAAATCCTTGTGTTACTAGTTTTGTTTTTTATTTAGTATTAAAATAGTGTTAGCCTAGAGCTATTGAAGATTTCAAATAACATTCTCCTTTCAAATTTTGATTTTTTAAAAGAATTCAGATTTTTTATTTTGCTAAAATATCTTCATTAAAGATACCTTAAAATTATTTAAGTTGTTGAATGATGTTAGATAAGTTAGTGGTTTATTATTCTAATGCTGAAGTTGTGTGATATCTCTTTTAAGGTATTTAAATTTTCAATTGTGCATAAACATTTACTTGAATAGTTTCTCGATATTTTATACTCATAAAGATAGCTCTTTAAAGAATGAATTTAAATATTTTGTTAAACCTTTGGTATCAGTCATATTTGAGAGATGTTTGATAGGAAAAGCTCAATAGAAGCAAACATTATTTACAAGTTTCAGATCAAACTTGGTAGCATAGTTGTTTGTTTAGAGGAAAAATTGTTCTCCTGTCCTGCCTGCCCTTTCTTACCCTCACCCACCACATCCATTTTCTCTCTTCTTCCTTCCCAACTCTTCCTAGTAATTGAAAATAACAACATTGCTATTGACAAATAAAAATGCCAGTCATAATGTTGTAGTGTAGAGGTGTCTTAGATATCTACAGATTTTTAGCTTTGGTCATGTGGAAATGACAAGAAGTGTGGATGAAAATTTCCTTGAGGATATGAGGCCTGTCTGTTTTACTTATTACTAGAGGCCCAGTGCACGAAATTCATGCAAGGGTGGGGTCCCTAGGCCTGGCAGGTGATCAGGGCCAATCAGGTTCCCCGCCGCCCCGCCTCCTCCTTTATGTTCACTTGCTATTTCTATAGCTGGAAATTCCTAGTACAAGGAAAATAGTGATTTGAACATTATTCTCTTAGAGCCAGAGTAAATACACAAATGGTTATTTTAGAAGATCCTTCAAACATCAGGGCTGTCAAGTACTTGGCATTTAAATACAGGGTCACTAGCATTGAAAACATTTAAGAATATGAATGCTTCTGAAAGGCTTCTAATTGTGAATGCTGAAGGATGAATAGTTTTTATAATTCAGAATCAGGAGTTAACACATATTTACTGTGATAATAATTATTATCACAGTAAATATTATTATAAATATGCAATTTGTGGAGATCTTATTTATAAGGACAAAGTCACAAAAGCAATGATGGAAAATTCAGCTTGAGTGGGGTTGTAAATTGTGGTACCAGCTTTTTAAGAGGAACAACTGGGTCTCCAGCAGCCTTTGTGTCACTGAGCCCCAATTTGCACTGGTTTTTACAGCCTGTAGTTCTTACTGCTCATAGGGACATCTTCTCCCAGCTCTGGGACCCTGGGCTTGGGGTCTGGTGTGGGGCTGGGACCCCTTGCTCCTCCAGGTGGCCTCCACAGAGACGATCTCCCTCCCTATTAAAAAAGCAGCACACATGGGTGCCGGACCAGCCAGTTCCATGCCTGTTCATAGGATAGTGGCATAGGTAATCACCAGTACTCACTGCCTCCCACAACCACATAAAAATTACAACTAAAATACAGAACAAACATCATCCAGAACCACTGAAAAGCTGTTTAATCCTACAACTGGAGAAGTAAAGAAGAAAGCACATTGAGACTGGTAGGAAAGCTTCTGACTTTTGATAGCATGTGCCTCTGTTTTGAAATAGTGCATTAGGTTCTCTTAGTAGGTATATAGTTATGGTCAGAGAGGGAATACTGCCATACAAGTTAGTTAACAGGGTTTCTCTTTGGGGTGCAAGTAACTCTCTACAAAATGCAGAGCACAAGTAAACATGATCTGGGGCCACAATTTTAATAGAAAGTTTTTTAAATCTGATTATTTGAGAAATATCAGGAAACAGCAGCAAATGTATTAGACTACTATTGTTCTCTCTCAATATGTGCCCTCTTTAAACAAGTGTCATAAATTATAATCTCTTACATTATTTGTACTTCCCTTGATATGCTGTGTACTTTTATTCTTTCTTGCTGTTCCATCTGCCTTTCTACCTGTATCATTTAATGGTCAGTTATACAGACATCAAATTGATTTTTCTTAAATCAAGTGATTCCGGGGAACTTATATGCATACTAGGGGCCCAGTGCATGAATTCGTGCACCTTGAAAGGAACTGTGGGCTGCACGGCTTCAGTAGGCACAGGAGCAGGTCTTGGCCTATCCTCTGTGCCCCCACCCAACCCCTCCTGCCAAGGCCCCTAGTCCCCTGTCTTCTGGCAGTGACTGGGGCTGGTGCCAGCAGCAGGTGTGAATGGGGCCGGTGTTGTCAGCAGGTGTAAGTGGAAGCTGCTGCCCCAATTACCCCTCAGGAGCAGAGGGAGGTGGAGAAGCCCTCAGGGGCGATCAGGGCCAGCAGCCACTGCTCACACCCACTGATGGCGCCAAGTGATCAGGACTGGCACCAGGCACTGGCAGCGGGTGTGAGTGGCAGCTCCAGCGCTGGCTGCAGGTGTGAGCACTGGGTAGGACCATGGTGCGCGGGAACAAAGAATTTTCAGTAACCACCAGAGGCTCGCCCCGGTGACAGCGACCAGCACCCTGCCTTGGCTTGGTGCCCCTGCTCACCTGCTCCACCATCCTGCCATGGCCAGGGCCCGCCATGTTCCGCATATGCCCCCTGGTGGTCAACACATGTCATAGTGTCTGGTTGTTTGGTTGTTCCGGTTGTTCCACCGTTTGGTCTATTTGCATATTAGCCTTTTATTATATAGGATATGCATAGCCTATGGACACAGACAATAAATAGTGTGGTGAAGATCTGGGAAGGGCAGGTGTGGGGTGGAGGGCTCCATGGGAAAAAAAGGAGGGGCATCTATAATACTTTCAACAAAACAGATACATTTCAAAAGGAAAGAAGAAAGGAAGGAAGGAAGGAAGGAAGGAAGGAAGGAAGGAAGGAAGGAAGGAAGGGAGGGAGGGAGGGATTCTTGATCCAGCCCCCAACAAAATTGACCAAAGAACCGTTATATTTGCTTGTTTTAAAAATTATTTGCTTATGTGTCTGCACTTTTATGTTACAATTATCTTAAAGCAATGACTTTGCCATTCTCTATCTTCAATCCCTCTTTTAAAGATCTATTGAATGAAATAATTTAATGTTTAATAATTTTGTAACTCACATTCCTAATTTATTTCTACTATCAATGTACATTCAGTTTTAATAGTTTTCTATAGCAAACTCCATATTGTTTTAAATTATATCTTTTTATTTCTGAAGTTTTCTTTTTTTTGTTTGTTTGTTTTTGGGTATTTTTTTTTGTTTTTGGGTGTGTTTTTTTTTTATTGAAAAAGCCATCTTGTATATAACAGTTTTCATCAATAACTAAAAACACATGGAGATAGAAAAAGAGAATCCAAGATAAATGGCAATATATGTATATTTTGAAGAAAAACTTTTAAGGACCTTGTGTTTATTGTCTTTAAAAACAAGTATGTGTGTCATTTATCTAGTTTTTCTTGATTTTGAATGAAAGGTTTTTGAAGGAAGGGGCTGTGTGTTTGCTTTATGTTTCCTTATTATATTGTTAAGCATAGTTTCATATCCCAAAGGGGAACTCAGAAAATATGAATTGAGTGTAAAAGTCCCTTATTTATCATCAACATATGTTGAATGACAAAATGATTGAGTGAATATTTATGACCAAACCATAAGAAAGCTGCAGTTTACTTGCTTCTCTATGGTCTATAGCTATTGTTGGATTTCAGGGTGAATACATTTATTCCAGGTAAGTGTTTTTCAACTTTACTTATATAGCTAAAACTGTGTTTAGTAAAGTTGTTATCAGTGTTTGGTTTCTTTCTCTGTTCTCTTTTCAAGCCAGGTGTTAATCCTCATTTTCTCATTCCAGATATTCACCACTATATTGATCAAGGAGCTGCTGAAGGGACACTGACTCCTGGATAGCTTCCTCCAAGTGGGGGCTTTTTCTTTCTATCATGCAGAGTAAGTGAGCTTTTTTGTTGTTTGTAAGTGGTAATCTATAAGATGGGGCTAACTTAGAGGTTAAGCCTTTACTTCTCACATGGATTGCAACATGACAACATTCTCACTGTAGTAGGCAGCCACCATGAAGGCCCTCAGTGATTCCTGACTTCTGGTATTTACACACTATTATAGTCCTCTCCCACATTGTATGAAGATTGGTCTGTTTGACCAATAGAATATGGCACATGTAGTGGTATGTCACTTGCAAGATTAGATTATGAAAGACTACAAGGACACAGGGTACACAGGCAAAATTGGAACCTCAACTAGTTCTAAAGGGAATTGTTTCTTTTTTTTTTTTAATTAAATCTTTATTGTTCAGATTATTACATTTGTTCCTCTTCCCCCCCCCCCATAACTCCCCTCCTCCCAGTTCCCGCCCCACCCTCCGCCCTCACTCCCTACCCACTGTCCTCATCCATAGGTGCACGATTTTTGTCCAGTCTCTTCCCGCATCTCCCACACCCCTTTCCCCCCAAGAATAGTCAGTCCATTCCCTTTCTATGTCCCTGATTCTATTATAATCACCAGTTCATTCTGTTCATCAGATTATTTATTCACTTGATTCTTAGATTTACTTGTTGATAGATGCATATTTGTTGTTCATAATTTGTATCTTTACCTTTTTCTTCCTCTTCCTCTTCTTAAAGGATACCTTTCAGCATTTCATATAATACTGGTTTGGTGGTGATGAACTCCTTTAGCTTTTCCTTATCTATGAAGCTCTTTATCTGACCTTCAATTGTGAATGATAGCTTTGCTGGATAAAGTAATCTTGGTTGTAGGTTCTTGGCATTCATCACTTTGAATATTTCTTGCCACTCCCTTCTGGCCTGCAAAGTTTCTGTTGAGAAATCAGCTGACAGTCATATGGGTATTCCCTTGTAGGTAACTGAGTTTCTTTTTCTTGCTGTTTTTAAGATTCTCTCTTTGTCTTTTGCTCTTGGCATTTTAATTATGATGTGTCTTGGTGTGGTCCTCTTTGGATTCCTTTTGTTTGGGGTTCTCCGCGCTTCTTGGACCTGTAAGTCCATTTCTTTCACCAGGTGGGGGAAGTTTTCTGTCATTATTTCTTCAAATAGGTTTTCAATATCTTGCTCTCTCTCATCTTCTGGCACCCCTATAATTCTGATGCTGGTACGCTTGAAGCTGTCCCAGAGGCTCCTTACACTATCTTCGCATTTTTGGATTCTTTTTTCATTCCACCCCTCTGGTTGGGTGTTTTTTGCTTCCTCGCATTTCAAATCATTGACTTGATTCTTGCGCTCCTCTGGTCTGCTGTCGGGAGTCTGTATAATATTCGTTATTTCAGTCCGTGTATGCTTAATTTCTAGTTGGTTCCCCAACATAACATCGAGGGTCTCATTAGTTTTCTTGTAGATCTCATTAAGTTTATCGGCGGCTTCTAAACAGTTCTTGAGAGACCTTAAAAGTGTGGTTCTGAACTCTATATCTTCCATTGACAATTTTGTCCTGTTTCTTTGTCTCCGCATTTTGTTATGCTTCCTTGGTGCACCCCCTAGTGGTCTTTGTGCGCAGTCTTGTAGTTAAGCCTTGATTGTTGTAGCTAATACCAGGGAGGGTTTGACCTCCAGGCCAAGTGGCTGTGAGAATCAGCTGTGTCAGCAGTGAGAGAACTTCTGTCCTCTAGGGAGGTGCTAATCTAGCCTTTGCCTGAGGCTATCCGGCAAATGCCTCTGTGCAGGGCTTGGGCGGGGTGGGTCGAACAGGATCAACAGGGTGGGCCGGAGAGAGCAGTTATGGCGGCTCTCAGTCCTGTCCCCAGGGGCTCTGCCTCTCTGAGTCCCAGCAACCACTGCAAACCTTGGAGAGAAAGCTGCACTCGCTCTGTCCGAAGCTAGACAGTCCCGCTTCTCCCGTTTGAGTCTGGGTCCCTAAAGACTCACCCGTATCTGGAGCTCAGAGTCTGCGACTCCCTCCCGATTGAAAACGCCAACTGCGCCTTCCGCCGCCAGCCCGCTCCGCGCACTCCGCACCTCAGAATTTGACTTCAGCACTGCGCCTCCTCTGAGTGTCCGTATGCGTTTCTCTTTCCTCCTAGTAGTAGGACTTCCACTCAGCCAGCGTTCCTGTGGTTCTGGGTGATGTCCGTTTCGTCTTTTAGTTTCACTTTGAAGTAGTTGTTCAAGGCAGCAAACTCCGGCGTTAACCTATGCCGCCATCTTGGTTCTCCAAGTTTTCTTTCTAAGTCTTGCCTCAAGTCTTTGCCCTTAAACTCCAGATGAGGAAAACTTCATTTTGATAATCTATTAAAAAACACACATACACACACAAAGGCTCTTTTTTACTGAGAACCATAAAAGTTTTCATATTCATAAATACTCTATTTCCAAATTGAATTTGATGTTAAGAATAATTATTGGCTTCTCATTTCTTAATGTTTGTATACCATGAGGGTTAGGAGTGGGGAGGAGGGTGTTAATGGGAGGGAAAGGGGACAGCTGTAATACTTTCAACAAAGAAATACATTTTAAAATAAAGGAAGACACCTTTCCTTTAGTTCATAGTTTCATGATCTAATCTCAGGACTAGTCCCCAAACCAATTTGTCAGCGGCCTGTTGCTTACACCTCGTGCCCTGGCCTCACATTCATCTTAGTTGAAATAGTATTATTGACAAAAAAGGATTCTGGAGGAAAATTAAGAAAGATACTTAATGTGGTGTCCCTTATAGTTACTAAATAGCATGTCCATCTTTATTTGTTTTGTGGGAGGCGTAGAAACTCCATCCAATTTAAATGAATTTGTGTAAAATTTGGCACAGGGACTCTCAACTTAGAGACCTTATTAAATATAAGGATGATACTACAGTACATTTAAACAGCACCTGTTGCAAATTAACATCTAATAGGGTGCAATTAGTTAACATTTTCCTCAAGAGGAAAACTGCCTTTTCTCTTTAGTTCAATTCATTTTGCCTAGAAGAATTTGATGTATATTATTCAGTTTTTGGCTCTAATCAGAGGCAAAATATTTATTTGTTAGAAAGTAAGCACCTGGGTTGTTGAACAGTTCTGTTACACAGCAGAGACATTTCCCCCCCTATGGCCTTTTGCTCAAGTACTTGATAGCATTTTATACATGTCACTTAGTGAATTCTTCAGCTTCATCTAGATCTGCTAAGGTTTAAGGACTAAATATAACCAAATGTATTCATTTTTTAAAATTAATTTTAATTTTTACTCGACAGCATCTACACATATCATTGAAAAGTTCAGGTAGTACTCAAAGGCTTGTAACAAAACAATAGCCATTTCCCACCCTACCATTTCCTTCCAAATTCCCCCAGGACTCATGTTCAATGGGTATACCGCGGCATGGCTATGGACAGATAATATTGGATTAATTGGTGTTTCTATGTTATGGTTATTAAATATTTTGAAATTCAACCAAATTCCTATCTACCCTCAATTCTCATCTCCAGAACCAATTGCTTTTAAAATTTTTTTGTGAAGAATGAGAGATAAGTAATAGAGAACCATGCAAAATAAAATTGAGGCCATTATTATTATAGTAAAAAATAGACAAAAAGATAAGAAAAGAAATGCAATTTCAATGGACTGTGGTCAGCAACTGGAATGATTTATATTAGTGATGGTGAACCTATGACACGCGTGTCAGAGGTGACACACAAACTCATTTTTTTGTTGATTTTTCTTTGTTAAATGGCATTTAAATATATAAAATAAATATCAAAAATATGTCTTTGTTTTACTATGGTTGCAAATATCAAAAAATTTCTACATGTGACACAGCACCAGAGTTAAGTTAGGGTTTTTCAAAATGCTGACAGGCCGAGCTCAAAAGGTTCGCCATCACTGATTTATATAGTCATAATAATGTTAGATCTGAATTCTGATTTACATCAGAACTATGATACAACTATATTGGGAGGATGTGAAAAGGGAAAATGATGTGTTGATAACATAAAAGTGTCAGGTAACATAAACCTTAATTAGATGGTGTCTAAAACTGAGAAAATAGCCCTATAAACATATAACAAATTGTTTATAAATATGAAATCAAATAGAAGAAGAAACATCTAAAGAATTTATTTCCTCTGCTCACATTTTCTGTTCTTTTAGTGTTTACCCTAGAAATTGAAATTTTTGATATTATCTCATTAATGTTCAAATATATTTCAACTAGAGGCCCAGTGCACGGATTCGTGCACCGGTGGGGTCCCTCAACCTGGTCTGCAGGGATAAGGCAGAAACCAGCTCTCTGACATCCCCCGAGGGGTCCTGGATTGTGAGGGGGTAGTTCTCAGGTGACGCACCCTGGAATCAGCCTCCCTCCTCTCTGTTTCCGGGTGTGTCACCTGAGAACTGCAGCTGCCAAGTCACCGCAGCTCAGCAGCTCCTGTGGTGGCCATCTGCCCCCAGTGGTCAGTGGGCATCATAGCTACCGGTCAGATGGTCAAACATTCAGCCAATCGGCTAGTCACTTAGACTTTTATATATATAGATTAGAGGCCCAGTGCACGAAATTTGTGCACGGGGGGTGGGGGGGTTCCCTCAGCATCCCATGACCCGGCCAGCCTCTGGCCAGAGGCCCACCTGCCTGCCTCTCTTTCTTCCCTCTGCGGGCTGGGGCGCACAGGACGCTGCTGCTCGTCGTCGGGGCAACACCACCCCAGCATCCCATGTGCCCCGGCTGGCCCTGGCCAGAGGCCCTCCCGCCCTCCCTCTGCAGGCAGGGGCGCACAGGACGCTGGGGCTTGTCGCCTGAGGGCAGATACAGCTGTGCCACTCGGCCACCTCTCCCCCCGGCGGGGCTGACAGGACCCGACACTCTAGCGGCAGGGCTTAGGGGACTGGGCGCCACCATCTTGTGGCTATGGGTGCTGCCATCTTTGTGATGGGGTGTTAGTTAATTTGCATATTGCCCTTTTATTAGAGAGGATACCATTTTTCTTTCAGAAAATACAAGAACTATAGAACATTTTATTTCTATTTAACACT